AGTTGCTGTAGAGCTCACGAAGAATCTTGATGTACTGAGTAGGGACGCCCTGGTTGCCCAAGGCTTCGATGACCGCTTCTGTCTCCACAGAGTCGAAGGCCTTCTTCAAGTCGATGAACGTGAGACAAAGCGGCATCTTGTACTCTCGTGAAACTTCAATGAGTCTTGTAACCGTGTGGATATGGTCGATCGTGCTGAACCCTCTTCGGAACCCTGCTTGCTCGCATGGCTGTCCTTCATCTAGTATTCTGCCGATCCTGTTAAGGATGACTCGAGTGAATAGCTTGTAGATTACAGACAGCAGGCAGATTGGGCGATAGTTGCCAATGTCGTCCAGGTCTCCCTTCTTTGGACAGCGCCGGGCCTTGCTGTTTCGACGGAGTGCGGTCCCTGGCATGCCGACACGGATAATGCGAGTGAAGGTCGGCAGCCAAAGTATTCTGATGTTATAACTGGCGGTGCGTTCTTCAGATGTTCCGGTTTAACCCTGTCGAGACCGGGCGCTGTACAATTCTTCACCGACTTGATGGCGTGTCGGACTTCGGAAGAGAGAACTGAAGGGACAACGTATCCATCCTCTCGCGGTTGATAAGTAGGCAGATGGACATGGCTATCGAAGAGATCCGAGTAGAAGTCGTGGATGACTTTCTCCATTGCCCTTCGGGATGCAGTAACTGTTCCATCTGGACGTCGGAGGCAGGTCATCTTGGTCTTGTAGCTGGCATAGCTTCGGCGGGCATTGCGGATGCTCCTCCCAGCCTCTGCTGCTTCAGCTAATACTGCTGCTCTTCGCTCCTTGAGATCTTCCTTTATCGCCTCTCTGCATAGCTTCGCAAGCTCGGACGTGAGTCGGTGATTGCCTGCAGCTCGTGCGGCTCCACGCTGGCGTATCAGTTCGAGAGTTTCCGGAGACAGACGTCCCTTGGTGACTTTCAAACTCTCTGCCTTCTTGCCACAATCGTGAAGATGTTCAACGAGCCGATAGTACTCCTCGTCGATGTTTTCGATGACGGAATCCTCCCATAAGCTGACGAGGGAAGCGAAGTGGTCCCAGTTGATGACTGTCCTGGGCTTCGCTTCCTGAACTTTGAGGCTCTCTCAACACGCATCGAGAAGTGGAATCTTGCGCGGAGGAGACGATGGTCCGATCCCGTGTAGAACTTTGGAACAACAGCGACGTCGGTCAGGCAAAACCTTCGATTGAAGATGATGTGGTCTATCTCGTTATGGAACTGTCCATCAGGTGACTCCCAAGTCCAACGAAGGTGAGAGGGCTTCTGGAACTGCGAGTTACCATGGATGGTGTTGGTCGACATGATAAACTCAGACAGTCTTTCGCCCTGCTCATTCCAATCCATTCCGTGAGTACCGATGTGAAGTTCTTCAGCCGTTCTTCTCGGGCCAATCTTGGCGTTGAAGTCGCCGACGATGACCTTGAAGAAGGTATGATCTTCCTTGTAGAACTTCTCCAATTCCATATAAAATGCTTCGTGTTCCTCCTCGTCGTAGCTCGATGTTGGTGCGTAGGCGACGAAGATTGTCAAAGCAGGAGTTGAACCACATCTTCTCAATCTCAAACGTCCGATTCGGGGTCGTAAGGCTTTCGTACGAATCGATGTTTATGGCCAAGTGCGTGTTGACGAGGACACCACACCGCCACCAACGCCTCTGCTGTCGCATGTTCCAAGGAACAGTTCTTCTCCAGTATCGAAAACGGCGTGTAGCGGGCGGTGCCTTCTCGTCTCGGTCAGTCCGATGACGTCGTACTTGATCTTCCTGGCCTGCATCATCAGATCTTCGATGTGAGCTTCGGATGCAAGCGTTCGTGCGTTGAAAGTACAGATCGCCATCTTAGTCCTTCTTCGTTTAGGCAGCCTATCCGGGCCCTGAGATTCTAGCAGCCTCTCCCGAGCGGTCCTACCCAACGCTGCCGTATTGGGGGCTCCCTCAGGTTCAGGGGAATGAGGCCCATCCATATTGCTGTTTTCGGCATATTGAAGGCACACGAGTAGCTTGCCAGGCTCTGTCGTGCGGGCTAGGATAGACCTCCAGGTAGTTAGCCACGCTATCCTGGAGCGGAACAAGGGGCTTATTTCTTGGAGGCGGCCCCGAATCGCCTCCCATGTACTTCCCAGTCACTTGAATGCAAGCTTTTGGCTGTGCCGACATGCAGGATACCAACCGCACACACACAGAGCGCACCACACACGCAAGCATGCATGGATGCGCCTGAGTGGAGACAGCTGGTATGAATCAACACAGCACTACAGAAACAGGGAGTCCATCCCCTGAATCCACCTGCGTCTCAGGGCAAGTACATGGTGGCTTTTGGTCCGCGATTTACCCCCTATCCGCCACCTGGGGTCGCGCCACGTAGCCTCGCCACCAACCGGCTCGAGATCTTTCAGTGAGAGAGGACCTCAGTGAAAGAGATCCGTGGAGAGAATGTGCTCAAGCAAGAAAAAATGTTGCACCGAAAATCGTTTCGGCGAGCACATTTGAGCGCTACTATATGTGTTTGAATGGTTCCTGTTCCGATAGGCAGTCCTAAACTGTCGCTCCATTTGTTATAACCTTCTTCACAGGCCTCAACACTGATTTAGTTAATGACTATGCGTAGCCTCAATTTAGATGGAGTAAATTAGGAGATTAAAAATAGAGCAGAAAAGCCGTCTTACGCTCTTACGCTTTGCCGTATTATACCTATGGATGCAAATTTTCCAGTAACAGGGGTTATATTGGGTGCTTCTCAGTGAGGGTCATAATTTTATTTTATGATACCTACCTCATAGGAACAAATAAGCATGATGGAACACACTGGTTCGCGCACACTCAAAGCAAGTCTGATAACAAAAAATGGCTCTGCTTACCCTTTTCTGAGAAAAAGCGCTTGATGCTGCAATATTGTTCTACCTTCGCTGTAAGGCCACACCAGAGTGTATGCAGACTAAAAGCGTAAAGTAGCTTATGCAGCATCTTATTGCATTGAGAATGTCGCCATGATCTCCTTTCTCTTCAGAGTTGATAGAAGACGCTTCAGGTATCCCTGGTTAGTATACGACGTACGCTTCCAAATCATCCCTAGTCTTCCTTGTGAGCTCTAGTGCAGATCTGGACCAGGTCGTGCTTGGAAAACCGATGGCGGTAAAAAAACCAAGACTTCTGTGGCTGTCCGGGAAATGCAGCAACTATAAAAATCAATACCTTTGGGTCACCCCGTCAACCGTTTTCTTAGTTCTTTCGATCTTCCTCACCTAAAAATCAGTAAAGGGGTCCACTCATCTATGGGCTGATATACACTTAAGAGATGCGTAAAGATGGCGCAAGAATATTTCCGAAACAAAGAAATCACCGAGTTCGCGATGAGGAGCGCAGTTTGTTGTGATATTTGGTGCGGATTACGGTAATCCCAATTGTGAGGCCCTATCCTATCCTCACCCTAGGCTACAGGGGAACAAAAAATCCCTTTAAATTTTCTTTCTTGTTTCAATCAAAAATCGCCCTGAGAAACTGCATATTTGTAATGTGAATAATTGCGTAAAAGCAAACAAGTGCGGAAAGTAAGGGAACAGTGTCTTTGAAAACAAATAAAAAACCCTTCTAGTCCGTCTACTCGGGGGGATAGGAAGCAGCCATTGCACAGGCAGTCCTCCGAAGGTACGAAATTAGCCTTGAAACCTCGACAAACAGTCGATTTCATTATAAACCTTTATGAGCCAAGAAATTAGACTTGTGAAGGGAGAAGAGTCGCTGGAATTCGTGAACAAATTCCCTTACTGCTGAGCAAAAACTTTGTTCTTACGTCGTGGACAAGGTTCACCCACCCCTGGGTTTCCTCGCCTTTCCCAGGATTAGGTGAAAAACCATACCCCACTTGCTTGCCTTGCACACCATAATGCACCTCATTAGTGTAGAACTAAAACAAGTTAAATAACTATCACTTTGAAGGCTAAACTAGGGTGAAAACAAAGAAACTGCAAAAGAGCTTTGCTGAAAATAAGAGGGACATTTTCAAATAACATGAGAAATATAGCGAAATCATCGGAAGTACAAGCCGCTGAAAAGCACCAGCTTTCTTTCGAAGCGTTCGCGGATGACGTCACGCAAAGTGCAATATCCTTTTGATGCTACGAGCCGCTTTAGCTGATGTGTCAAAACGATATTTTCCAGCAAAAACTCTGACACATCGTTTTCAGAGACGCCAAGTTCCGTTTGGGTATTATGACGTTGATGAGTATGTCTGTGATTTTGCTCGCCATCGTTGAAGATATGCCGAAATTCAGTATGTCGGCGAACAGAAGAGGTCGCGGATCATTCTCCGGGATCCCTTTAATAGGTGAGTTTGCTTTATACAAACGAAAAGCCATTTGGGACTCAAAGACAGGTCAGATCTGAATTTGAGTTTAAGAGATGCCAAGTTGACGCAGAAGCAACGGCGCATCATTACAAACATAGACAATCTAAGAGAAATGGTTTTGACACATATCCCTGCATTTTCTCTTGAAACCCCTCAATAGTTATGACACAAACGTTGTTGTCGTCAAAGATGGGCAGATGCAAAGTAGAGCGCGACAGTTCAAAGTCATGGTCACTCACGAGATGGATATAATATGATGTGAGCGCCGAAACCCAGCAGGTATATCTTTGATTCGTAAGTCGTGGCAACCTTTTAGACACAAAATCTCCACAAATCAGAGGTCGTGTGGATCAGCCTCCAGTGGAAATATCACCTTCAATAGTCTTGGGAGAGCTTCCTCTTCCCTGCGTGAGCAAAAGGCTTATTTTGTGGTGAAAAAGCAAGATGCGCTTCCCCGAACAAAAATTCTCTACGAAAATCATAAAACACGCCCTTTGACACAATCTCTTCTCCATCCGAGGTCAGCCGTCGCGTTGGACCAGTTTAACCACTCGGACATCGCTGCACAACACAAAGGCGGTCTCAGTGATTAGAGCACCATTCTGACTTCACAGCCTATGCGATGCCGTTTTTTGCACTCATTCCAAAATATTTCCTCAACAGCACCCGCTAAAACAACTCCAGAAAATTATGAATAATGCTTGGGTGTGAAAAATACTAAAAACTGGATAGGCGAATGGCCAACGTGTTAGATGAATCGATTAATGCCGTGCCCTTGAACATTTTTATTGAGCGTTATTCTGAACATAATACACAACTGCTAAAAAGAATGTTCGCCGCTCATGCTGAAAAGCGCTTGAAAAGTGAAAAGAGCTGCATGGGAAAGTAAATAAAACGAAAGTGAAGGAATTATTCACGGTGAAGGCGCGATCATGGAGAAACTGCGACTTTGACTTATTAAAAATTTAAAGCGATTGTGACAAATGCCCCTGCTCCAGTGATGAGATGGAAGCAGGGCCAACCGTCCGTTGAACAAAATCCAATGAGGGGTGGGGGTGGTCATATTTGGGGCGTGGGAAAGAGG